CATGGTACTTCTAATACTTCTGTATTAGAAGTTTAGCTACTTGAATAATTGGACTTATTTATAGAAGTTATACAGAAATTACATTTCTTTTTAGGATAATTTTATATTAAGGATCCAGAAGGTTTATCCATGGCAAGGTTTTGGTTTTGGCTTGCTATTGTCAGGTAATGCCTGTTGCTTCACTTGCTGTGTGTGCAAGTGAAATCTGGCATCATTTTTAGAATCTTCTCCTTTGTGTATAGATCAAGTAATCTCTGAATTTCTGTCTGATGCTTTGTAAGATTTACCGTTTGACCTTTAAATTTCTGAGAACAAATTATCAAGAATCTCTACTTTATGCCAAAAAATGGTGCTAGAAAATACTTTGTCATGGAAAAATACCTCTCCAGTGAGTTGGAAAGAATTTATCATTTGAGTAATTTGAAAATAAAGTTACCTCTTTACAGTGACTGAAACAGTTTCTCCTTTTCAGTGGTCTTTTAAAGAGACAAAAGCTGTTTTCTTTAAAATTAACAAGTAATGGGTAATACAGCTGAAGGTTCCATTTAATAACTTGTCCTGATTAACAGGTAAGTGTCTGTATGTTCAGATAGATGCATTAATGTACATTAAAGCAAATCAGAGTGCCCACACACTCCAAAACCTCAAAACCCTCATTGCTCTTTTAACAATCAAAAGCTTAACAAAGAGCACAACATAAACCAATATTCCTACCTTCCTTAAACTTTATACTTGCTCGTTCTGAATAGTTCTTGTTTACAAAAAGCTTTATCCCTTTGCAGAGATGGGATCCCTGGATGGCAAGTATCCTGTGAATAGCACAAGTTTTCAATAACTGAGGATGAAGAAGAATGTCCTTTTCTTTATAGATTATTGCCTTAAGCTGGACGCTTTGGGTGTCCCAGCTACATTCTGTAAAACATTATAAAGTTTTACACTTCCTTCACTTTGCTCATTAGGTATGGTTGCCATTCAAATCTCTTGAGATGTTGTTTTTCTCCATCAGTGTGTGGCTGAACATGAGGAAGGTCAATTTGTCATATCCAATTACTCCTTTCCTGATGCAGTCCACTGAGCTTATAATTTTTGTATCAGCATTTCTCAGTGGAGTGAGTTCTGCAGCTGGAGTTCTCTGCTGCCACCGTTCCTTCACGTTCCTTCACGTTCCTTCTACTGTTCATCTTTTTCCGCATCTTCGGCATCTTGATTAAATATCTCTGGACTTGTACAAGAGACTGAGTTTGTTCCTTCATTTGTAATGTCAGAAGTCTTCAAGAGTGGGAATTAAGTTGTGCCAACAAGCTCTTTCTAGAAAATACAAAGTTTTGAGCTTATGGGTTTGTAATTTTTCCTATTATTCTGAGCATGAGATGGCAGCACTCTGGAATTACATGCTCTCAATGATTTCATTCTCTCCTGCAGACATCATGAAATATTTGGAGAAAAAATAGTGGGTTTATATTGTTCTGAATTATATTTATAGAAGCTTCTACATAAAACTAATATAACATGAAGAATAATTTATTGTTTAAAGCATCTGGTCTCACTCCAGATTTGGCAAATATTTCTGGGTTAATCTGGGAGGTTGACAAGAATCCTGCATGTTTGGATCAGAAAAGATGTTGCTTAAGTTTATCCCTCAATTGCTAATGCTGGCAATTGAAAAACAAATCATCTCACACTGAGCATTTGCAAATAGTATTAGTGTCTTAGAGTTGGAAAGCACAAGTGAGCACCAGACTATTTCTTTCCTCTCTAAATTGTTAGATTTTGTAGTGATCTTTCTCTTAGTAGTTAAAATCTATTTCAAGTAACCTTTTGTGTGCATTTTGTCCAGCTTGCACCATTACCTCTTTGAATCTTAGAGCTATTGAATCAATTTAGATTGTTTCCTAAAAGGAGACATTCTTGCTGGCACTCTCCCTGAAATGTTTGAAATCTTGAATTTTATTTTCCTTCTCCTTAAAAGCTATAGGAGACCAAATAGGAGACTATTTAAACTTTAAATAAGCACAAGCAGTGTCTACACAGTGTTGAACAAAAGGTCTGGCTCTGGAGTTACTTTTTGCAAGTAATTTTCTTTATTTCTGATTTTGTTTCACTTTCCATCTCATGTACCTTTCAGTTCTGAGGCAGTTGGATTTGCACAAGCATAGGTTCCCTGCCTAAAAAAAGAGTGATCTTATTATTTTTGCTTTAGTGTATTATTTCTTTTATAACTATGCCTAGCTTGTAATTTACTCCCAAGTCCTGCAAATGCATTTTCAGTTTCTTTTCTTGTGCATGTGGAAGCCATCCCATTAAAATTTTGGTACCCACATAGTGGTGACTTTTATGTAAAAGAAGAAAAATTCAGAAAAGTGAGGGTTTTTTTCCACAGCCAGATGGGCTCATAAGCTAGAGAATGTGGGTAATCAGGTACTCAGGCTACAAACCAGCTTTTTCAGTTATGGGGTTGGTATAAAGGTTTTGTCCATTCCCGTGGGAAGGTGGCTGAAACACAATGATATTTTATTGCAATGATAATGTTCTGCATCTCTGTTTGGGAGGGAGCAGGTGCAGTATTCAGAAAGAAAAACCTCTCCTGGATCTACAGTTCTTCACAGTGAGAAACTTCAGTGGTGTTCCCATTAGTGCCTTGTACTCACAGTACTAGGAAAGAGTTTGTTGAGCTGCCTGGAAAACAATCTTTTGCTTAGTCTTGGCGTTTTTATGATTTCCAAAATAAAGCTTGAGCTTTTGCGGTGCTAGAGTCTTTCTTTGCAAGATAGCTCTCTATCTTTGAATGAAGATAACTTTTTTCTAGGAGAATGTTGATGTCTCTCTTACTTTGGAATGAAGGCTATTTCTGCTATTTCTTTTCCAAAAACAAAAAAACTTCTCAGAAAGGGAAAGAAAACAAAAAGCAAAGGGAAGGGTGATTTCTCACACCAGTGTGCACAAACCCCCAACATTCCAGCAACTGTCTGGAGAGTAGGATGAAACAGGCTCTGATGTGGAACCCCTTCTGCTGTTAGCTCGTGTTTGAGAGACGCTTTGACACTATAATATAGGGTTGCAAATTGGAATTGCAACACCCTGCAATTGGGCCAAGTGATGAAGCAGCACAATAACTGCCTGCTTGATCTTACCACTCTCTCTTTAATGTGCATGTAAAAGATACCGGGAGCCTTTCCAGGCATCTGTCAGGGGATTTGATGCTGTGAGAGAGGGAACTGTGGGCTGTGTGTGGTTAATGTGGGTGTTTGTGTGTTCTACCAGCATTTCATATGGTGTGATAACTACAGGGCAAAGTTTCCGTTTATAACAGTTGGGTTTTGTTTATTATTAAAAGCTTATAAAAATAATAATTGGAATGGTGGATTATGGCAGAGAGTGCAGTTCTTTTGCTCTTGTCACTGGAGTTTTATAGGTAATTGGTCTAGACCTGTGCATTGTCTTTAATATTTCATTTACTCCAGAGTATTATAACTCACTTCCTTTAAGGTGATTGCTGGGCTTTTTACACAGCTAAACTTGTGTTTAACCTTGCTGTGAGAATGTGACAGTAGGCTAGTTCAGACAGGTTAACATTCATTTGGTAACCAGCCTGCTTAATCAGCCTGCTTCAACCTGCAGCAAATTAAATCTCTGTGAGTTCTAGCAGACAAGTGAGAAAGTTGCTCTGAATTATGTATAAAAAATAAATGGGGTATTTTCAGTGCTCATGGCAGTAAATGAAATTTAAGGCTTACGGTTTATTCTTGGATTTTTGTTGAGAATGATTGAAATGTATTTTATCTTGATGTTTTTACAGTTCAATTAGGAGAGTGCTATATTTCTGAAATGTATAATGTAACTATTTTGTTCTGTGCCCTGCAAAAATACTAATAAGTTTTACAGGATCTGTTTTTCTGTTCTCTCTGCGCTTCATCTGAAGGAACCATTAGAAAAGAAGTTTTAAACATACAGCCAGCACTACCACATCACTGAAATTTGCATAGCATTAAATACTTTGTCACTGCCAAAGCCAATCAATTTATTTAAGAGCTACTCACATTGTAAAATTGGTCCAGATAGGTCTTTGGTGCTTCTGAAATTGCTGTTTGTGGTCATCAAGCTTGCTTCTCCTGGACTGATGTGCTCTCCAGAAGCAGCAGGAGGCTGGGCAGCTTTAAATGCAGGGATGGCACGGGTGGTTCTGGTCACAGAGTGGCCAGATTAGTGTATTTTTAAATGCAATATAGGACCAGATTTTCAAATATTATTGCTGTCTGTTTGCAGGCATCATAATAATTTTGTCTTTCAAATGATAGTGGAATTTTTCTGTTGGTAGTTCTTAAATTGAAATGTAGGCATACAGCAAAGGGCAGAAGTGCTGTTTCTGTTGGCACTGGCTGCTGACAATCCATCCTGTGGACTGTGCTGAGTGCAGTGTCACCAGTTTGGGCTGTGTGTCTTTGTTCATATGAGGAACATGGTGTGCATTGACATTTAAATGATGATTTTAATGACTAAAAAGGAGATGAAATATATGTTTAAGTTGCCAATGTGATTGTGTCTATTGCAATATCTGCTGATAAACAGATCTTTCAAAACACAACTTTTTTCGAGATGATTCAAATGTTTTTAATTATTTGTATCAGTACTTTGCATCTTTAACAATTGCTTCTTGATTAGCAAAAAAAAATCAACATTTGCATAGCATAGCACTGTAAAAGTTGCCATTTACAGTAGCATTTCAAACTTCAGTACTGCTTCAGGAGAAAAGAACAACTCAAGGCCCTTTGGAGTTTGCAGTTCCATTGAATTTGTTTTGATACTCTGTGCATACACCTCAGTGAAATTCAACTGATGTTTCCTTGAGTATTTTAATGTAAGGAATTCTTTTAGTTTTTCAGGCTTCTTAATATGTGTTTAAATAATGCATCTTTAATTTGAATCTCTAACAACCTTAAACCCTCCCCCCAACCTTTGACTGAGACTGTGGCTTTAATGGAGAATCACTGCTTGCCTTGTAGATGACTTTAGCTGTGTCAGGAGTGACTTTTCCTTGCCATCGACTCACAGTTGGAAGAAGATCTTCTCCTGTACAAACAAGGGAGCAGTCAGAGGAGGTAAGGACATCTCCTTTGTGTTACCAGGCTGCTCTAGGAACAGGCAGGGACACCTCAGGGTGCAGTGGTCACCATCCCTTTTGTGGTGGTGAGTCAATGGAATTGCATCTTACAACAATCCATTTACAGTTCCTGCAATTGTGACAAAGTGAGGAACTGGGCAAAGGAGTCATTGAAGATAAAGAGGAAAAACAAAGCAAGCAAACCCCAGCAAAGCATCTGACTGTGGGGGATGCGACCTCATTTCATTGCACTAAAATTTTGATTTTTTTTCCTTTATATGGGTATTCCAAATACCCATATAAAAGCCACCGTTATGTGGCTTTTTTCCCTTTTTCTTATGCAGTTAGACCAGCTCTGGTACTATTAGATGGAAAAACAGCATTAAATTTGAATAAAATTTGCTTAACTATTTTTATGCAGAGATTCTTTAATAATGAATTTTGTCACATAATATTGCTCTCAACCAGACTTCTATTAAAAATTACCTTTGATAATGCTGTATAAAATAGTAAATTAAACTGTAGTATATTATGTGTATTTGTCACTGTGTGTGTTTTGTATTTCACTGAAAATATCTGAAAAGAAGCTTACAGTGGATTTTGGGTTTTGTTTTTATACAGCAATGCACTGATGTTCATATGGTTAGTGATAGTGATGGAGATGACTTTGAAGATGCTACTGAGTTTGGAGTTGATGATGGAGAAATGTTTGGAGTAGCTTCATCTGCCTTGAGGAAATCACCAATGAGTAAGAGTTACAATTAACTGGAGCTTGTACAGCAGAGGCGAAAGCAGAGAGCTGGGAGGCGTCTGCAGAATTAGAAACTGGAAAGTATTTTTTTATAGGAATGGTAGAATTGTTTGAATAACATGTCTCATGTATGTATCAAAGGAAAATACTGCATACATAACTGGCAACTATAAAAACACCTTTCCATGGAGGGAAATTTTTAACATTGAAACTGAAGAATAATAATTGAACTTAAAATAGATGAGTAACAAATAAGGTCAGAGAAATTGTGATCTCTATCCAAATACACCTGTAGGTAACTATATTTCCACTTCCCTGTTTTGAAAATTCTACAGATTCTGTTTTTGATTGTTTTAGTCATTATGCTAATGAAATTTCTCAGTGATTATTTGCCCTTGAATTATGAAGAAAATTGAACAGGAGCAGTCAGTTACCTCCTACAAGCAATTCTTGCATATTCTTTATTTACTTTAAGCTTACCTTAGAGTTACTTCATTAGAAGTTTTTTAATATGGAAATAATAATATGGAAAACTCTTTAACATTTTCAGTATGGAGGGTTGAGCCTTTCAAGCTTTAAAGAAAGTCCAGAGTACAAATTCTAAGCTAGTGATATATCACATTACACTGGACCTGAGGATTTTACTGTTAGGAAAACCTGAATATATTCATGACACCCTCTGGAAATTTCTTGACTTTCTAAAGCTTCATAGTCAATAGTCTGTCATGAAGTTTATATGGTTTCTTGATAACACTTGAGTAAGCTGGGAGCATGAAATACCTGTGAAGTGAATGTGTTTGCATATTACAACCTGTTTCCATAGAGTTGCATTTCTTTTCTTTTTTCCCCCATTTTTTAAGTGCCAGAAAATGCTGAAAATGAAGGAGATGCCTTATTACAATTTACAGCAGAGTTTTCTTCAAGGTAAGCTTAGCCTCCTAACTGTGCAATTTTTATTACAAACTCAGTTAAAGTTAGTAAATAATGAAAGTAAGAAACCAAGTCTACATGTTTTCTTGTGAGATTATAGCATATTTAGACATCCTAATGGAATATAGCATATTTTGACATCCTAATCTAATTTATTTTAATTCTATCTCTGCTGCTAGAACTGCTTCTGAAATAAAATTATTTCTCAGCCTAAACTGGAGTGGTTGATTCTTGTCTTATTTATTTTTGCCGCTATGTAGTACCATTACTTAATTATGTAAAGGTCCAGAGGATGAGAAAGACTGGTTATGTATGTTGATTTTATTATGATATGTAGGAACAGAAAAGCTGAAATTTATTAATACTGAAAAATAAATACATAGTTACTGTAAGAGTTTTCACAATAACAAAGTGGTTGGTTAAATATTGACTTATAAAAAACAGAGGTATTCTGGATTTTTTTAAAAACTTTATACTACCAAATCATGCACTGTTAAACAATTGCTTGTTTCATTGAATAGGTAGGAGCTGCAAAGTAATGCAAAGTTTATGTGCCTTCTGCTTTCACTCCTGTGATGAAATATTCCTTTATGTATGTGAGATACATTAATGTGCAATAGAAGAATGGCCTTCAATTCATCTTTAAGAATATAATAAAGAGAGGAAAGAATTTGAAAATTTAATAGAAATTTTATAGAAAATTGTGTAGAACTTAAGGTATCTACATGTGTAAACAGAATGTTTTTATGATCACGTTTGTAAGGTAGTAGTTCATTACTTTGAGTTTTTCAATGTCAGAAAACAAATGGGTCCTAAATATTTTCTTTCTTTAGAAGAGTAATACTCATCTTTCTAAAGATTTAGCCAATGCATTATATTTGCAGAATATATAAAAATGTAGAATATTGAAATTACTTTATTTTGGCCTTTTTTATTAATTGGAAATTTTATCTCAAATAGATATGGTGACTGCCATCCTGTTTATTTTATTGGATCATTAGAGGCTGCTTTTCAAGAAGCCTTCTATGGGAAAGCTAGAGATGTAAGTGTGTATTAAAACTACTTTATTTAAAATAGTGGGGGAATGGAAATCACCTTAAGGGTTTCATCTTGATTTTTGAAAAGCTGAGCTACATTTTGGAGTTATTTTGCTTTTATTGTTTGAGAAGAGTTGTACTCATTCAGTTGACTGACTAAAATACTTACCTTGGTGGTTGCTGAAGTTGCAGTGAATAACTGATGCTTTCTAATCATTCAGGCTGTATTTTTACTGGAGTTCTTTAGTTGTCAAATCTACTCATTTTCTTTTTCCCTCCTCCCTTTTCTTCCTGAAATAATGGTGTCCTAGCACCAGATAACCCTGCCTGTGAGCCTTATGCTTGACAAGTTCACTGTTGCATGTTGGTAACTCCTTTGAAGAATGGCTAATGAAATTGTAAATTTAAATTGGAAGCTCTCTCAAATACAGTGTGCCTTTTTCCCCCCATTGTATAGCCTTTATCTGCCAAGTAAGTTCCAGTACTAAGGTTTGGTTGTTTAGTTTTTCTGTACATCCAACCAGGCATCTCAAGTTTCTGTTATTCCACGCACAGTTTTAAAATCAGTATTTTAATAAAATTAGAATGGGGACAGTTTATTTGAGTTTTGGTGACTTGATTCACTAAGGAGAAACCCAAAACCTTGCATAATTAAGCACAGATAAAGCTGAAACACAAACAAGAAAATCATGCTGTTTAAATTTACTTTTTGTTTTTCCTGATAGATGTTTAATTTTAAAAGGAAGAATGTAGTTAATCATATGGGAAGGAGCCTTTATTATGTTAGGGGCTGTTCTGATAAGTGTGAGAGTTATAAATCCACACTATGTAGCTGAAGTTGGCACATACTTAACACTAAGTTTAGTGAATATTTTCAAGTCTTTGCACAGAGAAAGAAATCCTGTGAATTGAACAAGGAAAGGCTGTGAGTTGGGAAGTTCATTTAGTGTCATGTTATCAGTAATGGTTGACAGTGTATCAGTGTAATAGTGGACAAAAGCTCCTCAAGAACTTTCATAAACAGTTTTCTACCTATAAATCTGATATTAATGCCGTGCAGTTACTTCGTTTTTTGTTGCTCAAAGTGCAGTTAGTTTTTTGTTGCTCAAAATACTTCTTGTGCTACTTACATACCACTTTCGAAATGTCTGTCACCTTACATTTTTAATATTTCATGATTTATTCAGACCAGGTCATCATCACAATAAAACCATTGTGTGTACATGTATATATATGTATATTTAAGAGAGTATTCATTTTTGTTTGTCTTTTTTGAATTCTGGGGTTTTTTCTGAATATTGCCTTATTTTGAAAGCTCTCCCTTTGGAATGGCATAATTTTTTTTTTTTTTTGTAACATTTTGATTTTAAGCAAAGATATGAGAATGTAGAAATACCATTTATTTTCACTGCTTTTCCCTGTTACAAAGTATTTTTTTCAGTACTGCCTCCTGGAATTCAGAATTGAGGAAAGGGACACATTATTCCATATTTGTATAATTTAATTTCCTAAAATAATTAAATATATATATATCAGTATAAAAAAAAGCTTTGGAGAAATTGCAACCTGTGTGTCTTGTCTTCTAATTTATACTATGGAGGGCACTTAATTTTACCAGGGCAACAGATGAGCTGCAGGCACCAGCATTCTTCACTTGAAGTGAGAAATTGAGTTCCAAGAGTAAATAAAAACAAGATTGAAGGTTTAAATCCTCTACTAGGCTTTTTGAACTTATATACTCATTAAATGTTTATTGGAGTGGTGGGATTACGAAGGATTTGGGCTGCTTCATCAACTGGTATATACTTAATCACTAAGTAAAACACTACATTTGATAGAGTGTTTCTCACGATGCCACACTCAATCCATCTTAATGAAAAACGCTTCAAACTGATTTAATTTGAGAGCACTTGGCAGCTTGAGTGCTCAGAGATCTTGGCCTTTTCTTGACAAATTCTCAACTCTGTCCAGAGCAGAAGGTGCACTCTGCAGTTCATGTCTACTGAGACAGCCATCAGCTGTGTTTTAAATGGATACTTTTTATCTAAATAAAAAAAAAAAAAAGAAAAAGCCCAATGTGTAAAAATATGAAGCTTTTTTTCCAGGAATATTTTAATTTGGGTTATTTAAAGCAAATTAACGTATGGCAGAACATGGGTTTTGAATGCAGAATATAAGTTCAATTTCTTTTTACAAAAATAGATTTTTCCTGTTTAATCTCATTGTCATTTCATGTGTTGGAAAGGATGGTAATTTGTAGTTATTTAACAAAATGTTGCTTGAAAGAAGAAATACCTTGTAAAAAAAGTTGAGGTGTTTATCTGCTGTGTTTGAGTTTTTAGCCAGTGAAGATTAGCATACATGATGGATATCTTTTAACCTTTGGAGCAACTGCTGCCACAATTTTACAACAATGCCAGTTTTTGGTAGGAGAGGTGGAATGAGGTCAAATGTGGCTCTGCTTTAAAACCTGTATAATTCTTTACCACAAAAATACAATACCCAAGATATAGAGCCTTGCTTTTAACAGCCAGTGTCCTTGGCCATGAAATTCCCAGCTGCCTCCAGCAGCCTGATAGTTAAGGATGTTGTGTATTCATTTCTTATTGCATATATGACAAGAAAATATTTTCAGTATTTCTTTTAACGGGGTCAGGAAGAGAAAGAGAGACAGAGGTTTATTAAATCAACAATTAAGCTGGTTTTTGTGAAAGTCTATTGGAAAGAAGAGTTTCCTTGTCAGTAAGTTTCTGAAGAATGGGCTTACTCTTGCTACAGAGCTACTCTGCCACAGGAATTGCTACACCTGATGCCATGGAAGAAATCCTGTAATAGACATTTTTTAACAAGGTGTTTGGGGAAGGTGTTTTTGTTTCTGAAAGCAGTTTGTGGGTGTCTTGTGTTCTGAGACATCAGAGGGTTTACCCTAACTTATGGTGGTACTGTTATTAATACTGGATTTTGATTGTTATATTGAAGTTTACTGAGTTATATATGTGAGTGATACTGAAGTATTTTCTTTTATTAGATCTTGTTTGTCTTTTCATTTTTATAGGTGGTTGCTACTCTTTTATTGAGAGAAAGAATAAAGACATTGCCTTTGCCTTTTCAGGAGCTCTTATCTTTATATATCTCTGTCAGCTCACCTCCTGCTCCTCTCTCAACCTTTCTGTCCACTGACTTTTAATAAATATGTGAAACATCTCTCTTAGCACAGATTGGTATTGTCACCTCAATATATATTCCTGCATTCTGAAAATGAACCGTGTTTTTCTTCTCCTTGAATTCTGTCTTTTAGGTTCAATTTAGAGGCAGCACCATCCCTCTCACATATGGGTTCTTTATTTCCTGAATACCTAGAGCAAAGTGTGCTCCTTTCATGATTTGGTGTGTTCAAATAAAAGCTATTTTTCCTTCTTCCTTGGTGGTAGCAGAATATTCCCTCATACAGGGCTTTCTGTAGCATCATTTTTATCTGTGTAACTCAGAGAAATGTCCATTATTATTTCAGCTTAATAAATTTATACTGAACTTATTACAGATTGCAGCTGGAGGAATTGCCACTTTACAGATTCTGATTAAACATAAATAACCTGCCCACTAAGGTCTGGTTGAAACTGGAGGAGAGGTATAGAAGTATAATTGTAACTTTTCAGGAAGAGTGAAGCAGCTGCACTATGGCAAATATCAGTACATACACTCCAGTTAAGTCCTATGTTAGTCACCATTTTCTTTCCAGTCTTGCCTGATGTGTGTTAGCAGTTCTGTCCTTTAATTTGTAAATTATTTCTGAATTTGTGAATAACTATAGTGTAGAAATTTCTACAACACCAGTTTAGTAGCTTCACTGTTTGCCTACACACCCTTCATTTTCCATATCTAAGGAGTAGCTTCATCTTTCATATCTGGAGGGTTGCTCCCAGGTGTGGGTCTCTCCTCAGCATCCTCTGTATTTGATACTAAATAATGGAAGTTTTTGAGCTTGTCTGCCTCACTTTACATTTTCTCTTCTTTCAAAGCTTGTGATTATAGATCTTATCTGGGTTTGGTGTTAATTGCTGGATACTATTTGAATTATGTAAATACCACTACAGATGTAATTGATTGAAATGGAGATACAACAGTATAATAGGATCAAATAATTGGAAGATGAAAGTAGACTAAATCAGGCTTTAACACACCTTTACCTGGGAGAATGGGTAGTTGTTTGAACACCTTACCATGGCTCCTGTGGATTCTTCATCACTGATGGACTTTTGAGACTAGATGTTGGTAAAATGACAGGAAGATTAAACTAGGACCTAGTTTGGGGATGTCTTATGCCACATCACTCTTACTTGAGGAACCTGTGGGGTACAGTTTTTTTCAGATGTCTTCTGCAAGGCTAGGTAAAGTAGCTGTGTCCAAAGGCTGATCCCATGAGCTCCAAGATCACCTTGGACAGGTGGAGCAGATTGTGCACTTCAAAAATTTAAAGAAGTGCAAATGCGTCCCTTTGTTTCTTGGAATTAATTCTCACTGCATAAAACCTGGAGGAAAAGATTAATATTTTGATTTGTTATCCTACCAGTTTGACAGAACATTCATGCCTCTAGCAGCTGTTACATAATGAACTTTTCTATCTCAATAATTTCTTGAACTTGTAAACCTGAGATTCAGAAATAACCATTCAGGTTTATGATTTTGCTGACCCCTATGATTGCATTCCTATTCCCATTCAAGTTCGTATTCTTTTGGGTTATCTGAGTTATTCATAGTATTAGGAAGTGGCTGAGAAGCTTAGAAATCCCATTACCCACTGACGCAAATTTAGTCACCTCAAGATCTAAAAAACTGAGGGTTTTTTCCCCTCAGTGACAACTTTTTCTTGAACTCTGCATCATAACAGCTTTTTCTTCTAATTCTGTACAAAGTGTGCTAACTTCTCTGAAGCTTTAATGCCTTGTCTTCGGCATGCATGTACTCTGAAAAATGCATCCCTTGGTGACTTAAGTTCCTCAAGTCCTAAGGCCTTTGGACTTGAGTTATTCAGTGCTTAAAATCTTTCTGGTACCCCATACCTTTGTAGGGACTAGTAAAAGTTTGTCCCTGTTGTATTTTTTTCCTTGTTTAAAATTTCATGCTAAGTATACAACCTCTGAGTTATATTTTTTAAAAACCCAACACAGAACAGTCTAGTGCTCCGTTAGTAGGCTTCTTTTGTGTAATTTGAGACTGTTCAACAGTTTTGTAAGGCTGTTTTAATAGTTCAAAATTTACTTCAAAATACCCAGTATTAGTCGTAATAGAATCCTAGAATTTACTCTTATTTTTCAAAGGCTTCAAATAATCACAACCAAAACTTACTTATAAATATGTGCTACCATGAGTTAGTAAAATAAACAAACATGAAAACAAACCCACACAACAACAGCAACAACAACAAACTTCAAGCTGTGAGCCTGTTGCAATGTGTTTATCCAAGGTAAAAATGCCCCTGGGTTTTACTAATATTTTTCAAAATAATATTTTAGCACTTCAGGTCGTCCTCCTACCTCTTTGCATTTATGATAGCAGTATGCCTGTGCCCACCCTTGACATTTTAGATGAAGTATCAGATACAAGTACAGTCTTTTATATGTGATGGAGTTTAGTCTTTGCATGGTCAGGTTTGTTGATGCAACAAAAATTACATTCCCTTGGGAAGTAACTCAGTGTAAACCTCCATTGTGTTTGTGCCTGTTCTGTTTACTGAAATTTGTCCCTAAATCTTTAAGCCTAAAACTGTACATATTTTGAAACATTCTGTTGTACGGAATCTCATATTTAACAGTTTCATGGGGTTGTTTCTTTAGAAGTAAAAGTGTTTCTCAAGAGCCTTTTTTTCTGTCCGCTCCCAGTGAAAAGAGGAGAGCAAAGCCATCCGCTTACCACAAAGCAGTGCCACCACAAAGGAAAGATTAAGGGTTTAGAGAGAGGTCAATGTGGGTTTTTCTCTAACTAAACACTTTCCTAAAGTTTCCTTGTGGAAAAAATAATGAAGTCATCTCAGAGTTTTTAAAGAATTTTTATTTCTTTTTCACCGTCTGCATTCGCTTGTCTTCTCAGCATGGATGTTTAATCTTTCTAGGCTTTGTGAATTGGTCCAAATGAATAAGTGGTGAGCTGTCTCTCTAGGAGCTAGAGGCTTATTCTAAGGCCCTAATCACTGAGTAAACACATCTTTGCCCTCCCTCTCTTACAACTGCTATATAATAGTCGAGATTCTAGCACAGTAACCTGGATATTGCAGGGATCGACGCTTTGAAATGCAGAGCGGCTGATCCTCAAAAACAGACAGTGCCTGATCTTCCCCTGCCTCTTTCTTCTTTTTAAATTAAATATCACCACAGAAATGCTGTTTTATTGCATGATATTGTGCATCAGTGCCCTGGATTTTCAAGTTTAGTTTCAGTCAACATTGTTGGCTGCACTTATATGGATCTCTGCATGTTGGGCTTATTAATGGCCCTTCCTGGTACATGTATACGTGGTTCTGAAGAACATTTAAATTAAATTAGACAAACAGTAATGCAAATTACTAATCCCTTTCTCAAAGTTGAATGTTCAAATGTTCCTTTTATAAACAGTCATTAAATTTTATCCAAAGCCAGTATATGAGGCGAGAGCCCTATGGGGGTTTTCTGCAAAGACAGCTGATCTGGAAATTGCATCCCATGTCTTGCTATATCAATACACATCAATATCTAGGGTTCAGTGTTACTTCTGATGAAGAGATTTGAAATTACTTTAAATAAAGGTCTGAAAATAGCACCGTATCATCTCAGCAAATATGTTCAAGTACTATTTTAAAATAAAGTAATTTATATGGGTATGGGGTAATGGAAAGCTGTAATTTTCTGAATTATATTTATAATTCATTGAATGCCAATTACAGAATCACAGTCCTTAGCTAGCTCATCGTCTCCCTGTATATTTGCAGCCTGCTTTCTATATTTACATGCACACAGACTTGTTTTCCAAAAGGTGGTCAGAGATTTTCATGAGGACGCAGCTGCTGGCGGTGAAGATCAAGTTTTACTTGATAGAGTTCCAGAAGAACAGCACAGAATATTTTGTTTCAAGAGACCATAAACACCATCTCAACATGTAGTGCCTCTTTTTTGGCTACAGAGGTAGTGATAGCAAGGCACTATCATTTTTTTTCAGGTTATTTATTTCTGTTTTTTGTCATAGATGCTGTCCAGTCAAGAGGCATGTTCCTTGTTCACAGAAATGTTATTTTTGTTGGCCAACAAGCCAAAAAAATTCACTAATTTCTTAAGTCTGTTAATAAGGCTTTGTTTTTCATTTGTTGTTGTTTTCATATTCTAAGCACATAATATATTGTATTTTAGTACTCAGAATATTAGGAAGCATTAAGAATATTTAAAAATTTGCAGGGATGGACCATTTGACTTGAAATCTGCTGATTATTTCTTGTGTTGAGATACTTGTCACCCTTGATAAATCCCATTGTGAGTACTAAAACACAAATCTGCAGCAGCAACTTTAAATTGTAAATTGCTTGAGGAACTTTTCATTCATCTCTTGTCACATTTTTTCCAGAGAAAGCTTCTTGCTATTTACCTCCACCATGATGAAAGTGTACTAACCAACGTCTTCTGCTCACAAATGCTTTGTGCTGAATCCATTGTCTCCTACCTGAGTCAGAACTTCATAACCTGGGCATGGGACATGACAAAAGAAGCAAACAGAGCAAGGTGAGACTCTTTGGACTCTGAGTGAAACAGCTTTTCTCAGGGAAGGCCCTTATCTCTGACTATCAGATCTTTTGGTGGTTAATATCTATTTGAGCTAAAACTTCGTGCTCATTCTCAGCTGATCAGTGGAGCTGTGCTGGCTGACATTCCTTAAGATTTGGACTGGCCTTGTGTTCATCACAAAGTGACTTCTTATTCCTGTGCAGGAAAAAGTAATTGAAGGAATTATTTCCTTTCTTTTTTTAGTTTTTTTTCAAACATGATTCAATATTCAAACATACACCTTCACAGTTATGCATTGCAATGCCATAATATTACATGGCATTAATTGTGTGTATGTAAATGTAACTGCATAAGAGTTGTCTGGGGTAGTAACTACTGTTGTTAATGAAAATCGTATTTAAAAAATAACATTTGTGTGATAAATTAGTATTAAGAACAGATTATGCAAAATGTTGAACACTTGCAATTCATGTGAACTTTTTTGAATTACATTTTTCTTACAGAACATTCCTTTAGGAATGTTCAGATATTTTGGTTTTGATATAATAAAAACTATCTTATGTCTGAGAGACCATGATTTTGCTGATGAGTAAAGAAATTAAAACTGTAGATTCCTCCTCCTTCTACAATTTTTTTAGATAACCTACAGATTTTCTTCGTGTTTTACTAAGGCCTCTCTCTTATTTAGTTATCAGTTGATCATGATCTACTGAAAGTAATGCTATTATTATTGTTATTATTATTATAACATCTAAAAATCATAGTTGTTTGGTTCTCTAGCTTGGACTTTATTTCATAACCTTTATTTACCCAGATGATGACTGATCATGTCTTGCCAGAATAACATCTTATGCATATTATTACAGTTGTTCTAATTTTTGACCGAAAGGTGCAACAGTCATTTGGCCTGGAATAAGGCTGCCACTTCTTTACACAATTCCAGTGATTATTGAGCAAGGAAAATTATCCATTTATGTTTCTTTCTCTTGTGGATTGTTAGTATAGAGCATTTATGGATTTCTAGTCTTCCCTATGTGAATTATAGTTAATATTTCTTTACTGAAGTGACCTTGGAGAATGGAATAGTCTCTTTTTCTAATGTGCTTTTTAAATGACCCTTTGTGTTTCTTAGGAATTCCTCACTTGACCTTCTGCATTTTGTCATTGGAGGGATCAGCAGCAATGTTTCTAGTTAGAGTTATTCTAGAGAAGTGTAAAGGTTATGGAAAAAAGCAGTTACAAAAACAGATTAAAAGTTTCTGAAAAAGAAAAAAAAAAAGTGAGAGGAAAAAGAAACATCTAAGTTCTTTCATAGGACCAAATACATAGACTGGAAAGTTGCTTAAGTCTTTTGGTATTGCCATTCATGGGCAGTAAGGAGCCTCCTCCTTTTCTTTTATCCCACAAGTTGGTGTAGAAGGAAACACTATTTCTAAACCATCTGTAGTGGCTAAGTTCAGCTGACTACCTGCTGTTCTATTGTCTGCTCTTCTATTTAATTCTCTAGTTTCTTTTATTTTACAATGACAAAAAATTGCAGTGTAGTTTCTTTTGAAAAACTGTGTTTGAGGGGTTTTTTATGACTAACGATCAACAGCCATGTAATTGCTTTGTTGTGTTTTACTAAAGAAATCTATTAAGTAGCACAACTTTGATACACTAGTAATAAGAGTTTGCAGGTTACACAGACACCTGTGGTGACCAAAGCGACAGAAGCTGCTTGTTAGAAAGAGCCTGTACAGCTGTGTCCTATTAACTCCTTATGACACTTCTTAAAACACAAAATAAAGGGCTTGTTTAAGGCTTTATAGCTGCTCTCAATGAACTTAGTCCCTGATTGTGCTGGACGATAGGGTTTTTAAGCCTTCATTTTTTTGCTTTCTGTTAACAACAACAAAGAAACTGTCATATTAACAGTGAGGTCAAAAAATAGTAAGGGGTAAACAAGTCATGCTGGCTCGAATTAGAATAATTTCTCAGTTGTGTTTAGTGTCACATCCTGCTCCTTAGACTGTGATTTCTTCAGAGGGGGTATGATGCTTCCCTCTCCCTTTGGAAAGTGCCAGTGCACTGTGGGCATTCCCATAAATAAATGCTCAGTCCCTCTGTTCAATCACTACCCTTCAGTGACAGTGGTCTTGGAGCCCATTCTGTTCTGTATCCCTGTGAACACAGTTAATTGTAGCCTTTTATTTGAATGCTGAGAAGACAACAGCAACAACAAGAGGAACTGGGGTTTGCCTGCTGGTGTAGCCCAAGAGCAATTCATTTATACTCCTCCAATTGCATTGTAAAAATGCTGGAAAAGCCAGGGTGGGACAGCAGAGGAATCAGGCCCACTTGATTTACAGCAGTCAACAGAGACACCTCAGTAGTAAAGACATGGTTTCAGTACTGTGGAATGGCATGAGTAAATTCAAACAGCTATAAAGACTTTCCTTATATAAGCCAAAAAAAAGATTCATAATGTTTTGATCCATGAATGTCATCCTATTCCAAAATTAGTCCTAATAGTTGTTTCCCATCTTCTCATTAATGAAATGAGGGTCCATCCTGAACACTGTAGAACAAAACCAGCTCCAAATTCATGTCATTTTCCCCAATTTTTAATGTGTTTGTCATCTGACACTGATACAGGAATGTGTTTTAGAACCTGCATTACTGCACAATAGCATGTTTCTTCTGGAATCTCTCAATCTTCAATATCCATTCCAACAGACTGGGTACCTGCCAGCAGCAGTGCAAGAGCATAGGCATTACAACTTTGGGAGTCAGATACTAAAATATTTCTTTCTGCAGCCATGCAGCACTGTTACTTTGTAAAAATGAAGGAGAAGTCTAATTAATACAGTTTATTCTAATTAATACAGTTATATCTAATGCAGAGGGGAAGTTTTGCTCTGGCTTCCATGGGTTTTAATTGCCTCTGACATCAGGTTTGCAGTGAAGGGAGCAGTTACTTTGAGTAAGTTCTGTGATTATGAATTTATTCATTAATCATAATAAAATTAGAAGAAAAGGAAAATAAAATAAGTATCCTTCATTTAGGAAAATAATATGGTGATTTTTTAATACAATTAAGGAATAGACATGAAATCTTTATCTCCTATAGTTTAGACTTCAGTTTAGGGAGCAACTCTTTGAAATATTCTTGTGATCTGTTTCTGTCAAAGGAGGAAAAAGGCTACAAAGCTACACATATAGCTCTAACTTTACTCTTGTTATATTCCAGGAAATTTGAGGTGAATCATGAGCTTAAAAATAGTTTCCTCTCAATTGCTTGCAGTGAAGATTGCTACCATGGCCCTTTGTGAGGAGGTGTCAGGGCAGTGGCAGTGGGGCTTGACTGCAGTGGTGCTGGCAGCTCTGTCCTGCCATCGATGGGCCAGTGCAGCACACACCTGCACTGGGCCATCACTTGGGCTGGGCAATTCCTCAGCTTTCCAGAGGGATTCTGGGATGGATAAGCAGGAGAGCCACAGATGAGCTGCTCTAGTTCTGGCAGTTTTTACTTCACAGAGTTCATTCAATACCATTGTTCTAATACAATTATGTGCATGAGCGTTGTGAATGTTTGTGCAAACACATGCCTAACTGGATTTGTTAATTCATTAATGGGCATTAATGTATTTGTATCCAGGAAATATATATATATACATGCACACATGTACCTTATATTGGTACACACTGCATTTACAAACACTGATAATGCTTAATATTAAGAGCTGTCCAGCACACATAGTGTTTGTTAAGCAAAGCCAAAACCATAAGACAGCGACTTAAAAAATCTGTAGCAGCTTTTTAGCTTTTGATATCATTGCCCTTGAGCACTGTATTTCAAGGTGTTGCCAGTTTTGTTCTGATGACAGGCATTTGTTAGTTTTAATGTTCAAATTATAGTTTTTCACTGTGCTTAAGCTTAGGAAAGAGTTAATTCACTAAAGTGCTTCTCAGCAGCAGGTTGTCTTCACCTGCAATTTCCGTCATCAAGTGATTAGCCATATTCACAGTTGCTGACCCTTAATTCTAACCTACTGAATGATGCATGCCTGGATGAAGACCAGTTGACCATATTACTCCAGCTCCCCAATCCCATTTGATCCTTCAGCAAATATATTGCAGGTGTGGGGTCTGTGAGAGCAGGAGGAGGTGAGTTAATTTTTCACTGCCTCTTCAGGAGTGACCACGGATTCTGTATATGTTGCTTGCAAAACTGTTGGACGTGTTCTTTAGGCACTAAATCCTTAACAGGTTTCACACAGCAGTGTGAAAACCTTTTCTATTGTATTCTGCATTTTTTTATTTAATTTACTTTAATAGCAATACAGTGCCAGTCAATAAAAACAGGTCAGAAGTCTAATTAATGTTTTAAAAATAAAGGTTCTCAAACACCAGGCGAGTTTGTCATTTTCTGTATGGTTTGTTTTGAGGAGGAAGAGGAAAGAAGGTGAGGAGGGAACCCTTCTGTTCCATGATTACATCCCACCCGCTCATTTTCTCCTTTTCTCCTTTGCTTTTGATTTTAGTGGCGGTCTTAACAGAATGTCAAGATCAATTTGCAGCATGGTTTAACTCAAGGTTTGCATTCTGCCAGCAGCAATTGTCCTACTGAACAATGCCGTGTGTTCTTGTAACTTCAGAAGCTTTTAGAAGGCTCATGGCAAGGGCAGCATCTAATGACTTTATTAGGGTAGGGTTTCAAAATGGACTCGGTAATTGTTCGCATCTCTTTGTCATTTAGTCATAATTACTGCATAGTATTGTTCAGGGTTGCACTTGTGAATAGTTTCCTAATAGCACTGAAACAAAGGGAAAAAAGGAAAAGGATAAAAGGTGATTGTCTCTTTAGATGGAGAACAAAACAGCCTGTATATAGATGATGGTTAAACTGTTTATTATACACCAACCAGAAAAGGTAAACTATCCCTGCTTAAATATTTATGTGCTTCAAGGTAATTTCATGTTAGTAATCTAAAAATGTCCAAATTTGGAAAACT